TTTTATTACAAATTATTTTTGCTATTATCAGACAGTTCCGATAATCATGATAAAAAAAAAATTAATTGTCAGTCCAACATTAACGGAACGGATCTTACAACTAATTGCTCCGCTTCTTGTAGACGAGATAGTGTCAACAACAGGGTCCTAACTTTTCCAGTAGGACATCGCTGCGTATGACTATACCCTTACGTAAGCTTACGTAAGTTCAATATAGGACTAAACAACTTAATATGCTGCTTCCGTAAGACACGTTTCTCGTACTACTGTCGTCTGAATGCTAGACGTCGCTGTTAGTAGATACTTAAAATACTGAAAAAGGAGCACTGACTACTCCTGAAATGCCCTTTTCAGCCTCAGTGCATTTAATAAGCTGCCCCTATGGGGAATACATCGAGCACAACCGACGGTAAACACAGAGTTATAAGCTAAAATTATTTAACTGAGATATTGCAAATGCCGTTCTGGTTGGAGTTCCTCTGCTAGCATATTGAGATAAATCTATTTTTAGTTGCTGAACATAGCCATTTCAGTGATTAGCAACACATTATCAATCTCAATTTTTGAAGGGATAGTGATACCTAAGAGATATGGCAAACAAGGCTTGTTTTTTTACACGCTTTTTTATTTTCACCTTTGTCAGGTACCTTGTAAATAAACAATAAAAAAACATTTTCAAATCGAGTAGGAATATTACAAATAGAATAAATAAATAAAATACTTAGCACACAATCCTACGATTGTGCTGTTCTTTTTTGCGGTACGCTGTTCAAGAAAGGAATCTTTAGGCATGAGCCACGCAGTATCGTCTAGAAGGGCTTCGCATTAAACGCAGGTGCAACTTTTGTTTGGATTGCGGTGCAGCTTTACTAATACACACACGGTGGTGCTAATGAACCACGCATTGCTTAGCGGACTACCACGTGTGGATTCCTTCTGTATAATTCCCTCCATGTTCCCTCCATTTTAGCACCAGTGGCAAGGAATTCTAAGTCAGTCTTAGCCATCTGTTCTTCCCGTAGTCAGATAAATTCTAGATAAATTGACGTTGTAGATTCCCAACAAATAGCGGCATATTATCGCTAGCCTAGATACACAGCGGTTATATCCAGATCTGTGCACACCCAGTGCTTCCTTGAAAAAGTAGGTATTACTTAATCCAGCCTATGCAACTGGACCGTCCTGGACTTGCCCCAGATGAGTTGGATGCCATATAAGGTCATTGGTGCGATACTGCTGTCAAGGAGATTCGGGAAAAGAAACGATGGCTTTTTTGGTGCAACGCTTACTACCATTGTTTTTCTGAGCTGTTCTGCTACGTGTCAAGTAGAATAAATTACCGGGCAGAATAAAATCAGCCCTAAATAATAAGAATGCTCCATGTATTCGAAAGGCGATAAATGCAAGCGAGTGGTGTTATTTGCTGATGGCAGCCCCAATTTTTGGAACTTCTGAGCTGGCATACGTTACTTATCGTGGAAGACAAGCTAGTGTCTGCTAAACCTCAAAGCGACTTGTATCGTAGACTGCGGAACTATAGGTTTGCAGTGGAATACCTGCCTTTATACATTTACGCATCCCAATTATTCTGCTTAGGAGGTTGTTCAGGAAAACTGAGGAAAGTAAGGGACTGAGGTTCTCCCCTGAACCACTTCTGTCACCTGTGTGAAAAGGCTACGTTTCGTTAGTTATTTTTTATCGTAATAAAATTGTTCTGTAGAATCGAAGCGGTGAACTGGATGAGCTTATATAGAACTTTTGCTTCGACAAGCTTGTTTATATATATATATATATATGTATATAAATATATATATATAGTTTTTTTTCATTGACAATGTCGCTATGGCTAGAGTTTTTTGGTTTTCGAAAGGTATAATTAACTATTAAATTAGAAATTAACTATTAAAAATTTATTGATTGCGTTTATTGAGTTATTTCTAACAAATTCAAAGGGTGGAACACGTAAATAACAAAATAATTGATGCAAGTATAATGACGACACAAATGAAAAGTGTTTCGCTAATGTATAAAATAATAAATGAAAACTATTATTTTTACCATAATCATACACTGAGGTTGTTTTCTTTACGTAATATCAATGGTTGTGTGTTAGGATAGTACAGTGGATTTACCTGATCAATTTCAGGCTTTACCTTTAAACTTTGCTTCGAGTTCCTCTGTTTAGAAATTGCATAGCACCAGACGTGCGATTTTATCAACCTCCGCGTGGCTTCGATGACAAGTGGGAAATGTAAAAGCCTTGGTTAGCTCTGGTTGGGCTGGTCGTGGTGATTTCAAACTGGTCCTATGTAGCATGCCCTGACTGAAGGCAAGCCCATTGACTTCCCATTCTTCCTGCATCGTGCCTGTGATTGGTGTTCACTGAAAACTGGCTACTTGATGCGCTTTATCCGGTGCATGAGGAATATGCTTTTAATGGAGGACAAGCGGATTGACGGATCTGCGTTAAATGTCGCAGCATCGCCTTCACAGTCTTATGGGGCTATCACAACTGGAGAGCTTGCCACCTTGGTTTGCCTATTCTTAACAACTGCATTCGCGACCGGTGAACGCTAAGAATATGGCCTCTCGGGACAACAGTAACTACTAGCATTCCATCTTTGCAGGGTGTTCCTTTAGAAGCGGGTGTTAGCACTCTCCGGCGTATCATCTTAGACCACTCAAACTTATTAGGGATTAACCTATGCTATTGTGATCAAGCTAGCAAAAGTAGTCGATGTCGCAGATTTTTGGACGATAGAAAAGGCCATGGTGAAATCAAGCTTGTCCGCCAGCCCATCCAGCAGTGCTCGTTTAGCACACATAGCTTGTTTGAATGTCATCCGTTCCTTCTATTGCAAAAAACCACTGAAACAACCCGGCTTCTTTTGTTGGCAAAAGGGTCGTGTACTTTCTCTTTTGAGCCGTCCCATTTAGTTGTGCCAGTTAAACCGTACCTTAGACATACTTCGCAGTAACGATCGTGCGCTTCTTTTGGTCAGCCGATCGCCCGCGACCTTCATTCGGGTACTCTAAATCTCGACCCTTGTTTTATTCGTGCCTTTTCGAACGCCAATTCCGACGACTTCGCGGAATCGCCCGGATAGTCTGCTCGTTGGCTGACAATCGCGGGCCTTTAATCAGCGATATATATATATATTTTTTTTCTTTGCTATCAAATTCGCAATCGGGCCCATGCTTTTATTCAACAGTTATGAGTTAACTATATTACAGATTTAGTAAAACTAACTTAATAGAGTAATGGCTGAACAGGAAAGATAAAAGCGTGCACCAATACAGAAGTAGTGTCCAGCAACTTTTAGCACGGTTGCTTTAAAATAATTACTGAATTGATAGGTTTTTTAATCAGCAATGTTGTTATCAGTGCAAGAAAGATGCTTTTAAATGCAAATAGAGGCCGCCAGGGGTTCTCTTAAAATTGAGGAAAATGACCACTTTGAAATTCGACTTTATCGAAGAATCAAAGCGTAAAAAAGGGTATCCTAGCCGAGACTCCTCTTGTCCTTTTCCACTTTGCATTATTATGGACTACAGTAAGGATATTTGCAGGTTCTAACATAGGTGAAGGCCAACCTTCTCTCCTTAAGAACTACAGTAAAGTGAAATAGAATATACGTCGCATGCGCCTTTTTTGGGAACAGCTTTTTGTTGCCTAACGGTAGCTGACTGGCTAGATGCCGGACTTCTAGTGGTTCATGTCGAGACATTTTGTAAACATCTATCAGGTATTTGGCATTGTTCCCATACAGTTTCCTGGTTCTTCAGTGCCACAATAGATAATGCTCGATTTGGCAAAGTGCACATTTACTGCTTTTACTGCGAACCGATAGTGCAGGAGGGCGCCAGCTAATAGACAGAAGGTTTACTGTACCCAATACATGACGAACTAGCTTGTTAAAGATTATTTTATAGCTAGTTGTTACTGCATCTTGACGCTTAAGCCACGTTTTCATTAGGATTAAAGTCCTAGGAACGGCACATCTTGGCAACTCTCAAGCGAAAGGAAATAAATCTTGCACATAGGAACATATATCAAAGGCCCGATGCCAATGAAGAAACGCCTGACGCAATTTAATTTAATCGAAGTGAACTCGGAAAGCTGGAAGCCATAGACTGTATCTTGCTCGCCAAACTTCGCGCATCATAATATAATCATATACCTAACCCACATGGTAGCATAATAAGCAATAATATTACTTTATATGGAATTACCAGAACTTAATATTTTTTCATAAACATACAGACACAGTTAAGCTTCCTGTCGTTTTCAAAATGCTACAGAATAATTGCTTTTGTCATGTTATTTAATAACGGACAAAATTGTACTACAAGATATTCATTGTTTTATTCACTTTACTCACAACTGCTAATACGTGTGCATGAGCTACTTTACCCGTGTAGGCTCGGGAACTACATTCGAAGTGATGTTCTTAATCTGTCAAATTAGCGCAGTCTCATCTGAGAGATAAAACGTATTTACGTCTTCGCTTGTTCTATTAGGAGTACGGAATTCTCTAAAAAGGCGACAATGGACAGAACGGTCTTTTACACCAACAAAGGGATAGTGAAGGTCAGTTAATAATCACCTTTACGAGTCGCGGAGAGAGAAGTTAAACATAACAGGTTTCTCATAACTTGTAACCACTGTCACTATACGTACCTCTGTAGCACCAATTGATACCAGTTACAAATAAATCACTAAAACGATTAACCAAATGTAATTGTAGTCTCTTAAAACAATTTAGGTTTTTTGATAGATGAATTGTCTGTGTGAATTCGCTGAGCACCTAAGTCAATAAAATTAAATTATTTTTTTGTGAGTGTTCTGTTGAGGTGCCTTAAAATGAAAAAATTCGTGAGCAGCTGGAAAGTAGCCTCTCAGAGTATCTCTTATTCCAAAATAAATGAGTCGTTAGTTTCAGACTGATATTTATTGTTCTAATTAACGTTCTACCCTTCAAAGGAATCCATGTCGGACTCATGCCGTCGGGTTTCCAGTGATTAAATCGTTCGTCAAATTCGACTGTCGGCATAGCCCTGAGCTCGTTAAGCGATTGTTCTTTTCTTCTATCATGTTAAAGAGTAAGCAAGCAGTCGTTGGGGCTAGGTCCGCTGAATCCGGGGGGTTAAGACAACATATTCTTCTTTTACAAAAATTGTTCTACGAATAGTGCACTGTAAATCGGTGCATTGTGTGATCAAAGGCCCAGGACTGTGCAAACAATCCTGGCCCCTTGCCTCGTAGAGACTTCCCCAATACTTTGCAAGCTTGATAGTACCCCTTAATGACTGAGAGGCGGCCGACATGTACCCATGAGAAATGATTCTTCTTCGACTGTCAAAGAAAACCATGAGGGTCACCTTGGTTTTGGACCTGGATCGTGCGACTTTCTTCGATCGGGGCTCGATTTGAAAACCATATTGGGAAGATTGGCCTTATATCTATGTTTAATCATGGACGTAAGGACGAATTCAAGCAAGCATAAATGCTAAGACGTTTTTCTGGCGTTGTTCTTCATAGATGTTCATATGCTGGATATTCTCGTCGTAGTCATGTCGTAAGCCTTCTGAAGCTTAAACGATCGGTCAAAATGGCCTCTCCTAAGCTCTATCTCTTCCGTTAGTTCTTTCGCGACGATTCAATGGTCGGCAAGCATAAGTTGTTTTACCCTTTCTACGTTCTCTTTCGTGATCGTTATCACATGTCTTCCAGAAAAGGATCGTCCTCCATTATTTGTTGTCCGTCTTCGAAACGCTTGAACCACTTATTTACTTGAGCTTTACCCAGCGCCTGGTTTCCGCATGGCGTTCTGCATCATCGGCAGGATGGCTGTGAGATTTATTTTGCTTTTCACACAACACCTGCTGTACGTTCGTTGTTCCATTCGTGAATGCTCAGAGCATTGACTTACCCAATTTGACCGAAAAACTTCAGATGGTATTGAATTGTTATATAATTTTACCTATATACCAGAAGCCCTGCCCTGCCAAAATCAGTCTGGACGACAAGCGTTCACCAAGTGACACGAAAATACAAACGATTCACTTATTTTTAACCGAAGGATTGGTAAAAGAGGTGTTTCAAGAATTATTATTTAATAGCTGAAATTCGTTCTTCCTGCCTAAAAGTAGTTCTGATCGGATATGCTCATACTTGTTATTTAATAATCAATGACATTTCTTTAAATTGAATGCATTTCAAATTTTTGACGGTTCTCCCTTGATCTCGTGTAACGTCCTCTGAGTAAGCTCATCATTTTCTTTAAAAGGCTACTTTGAATCTTAAAAACAGAAAAAAAATACACCATATATTGGGCCTAAACAGTTGTCGTTTTAGAATTATTTAAGAATGCTTTCTTGTAGGATAATATATAATAAGAAGGAGCATATTACTGGCAATCGCTCGATTTGTTGCCATGCTTAAATTAACTATTAAACAGGAAAGACTAGGTTTTCAATTGTAATAGACGCTGCCTCAACTGTCAACTGAGGATATCATTTTTTGTAATTGTATTAAGTCTTTTTGCGCTGTAAGCTTAGTTTTAATAAAATTTTTTAAAAAAAAAATAGATAATATAACTATATTGTGTATAGTTTCCGATAAGAAGAATTAGTATTGTCTCAGTTACCTTCGGCACAACTGATCGACATTATCGTTGAGTGTTGGTGATATACAGAAGTATGTAAAGCTCTTACCGGGACAGTGGTAAGTTTGGGACATAAGATGCAAAATATATATTTAAATAATTTTATTACAAATTAAGATTGGGGAGACAGATTTGAGTAATGTGGATAGCATCACGATTTCGAAAAGAACACTATATGTTAAAGTACATTATTAATGGACTAATAAGCTAAATAAACGCTACGCTTTAGTATGCGTCAGTAATCGCTACGATGAAACTGTAGATAAAATATTGAAAAGGAAAAATCTACCTCTCAAGTTGACCTAACCGATGTCCAATCAACAAATATATCTACTACAACATCATAAAGTTCTTAATGATTGGGATCGAATTGTAAGAGCAGTGTCTTCAAGGCCGGTCAACATGTTTATTTCTCCTAATGCATTATTATAAACTAATGTGGGTGAAGTAAAGTAATTAAGGTCAAAAAAAAAGCAGTTTTTGAACAACCTACATCAGGTCAAGGATGGAGTGGTTTTCATCCTCGAACAGAGCTATTCTTCGGCTACTTAGTACAGAGTCTAAAGGATCAATTATTTTAGGTAAGAACGAAGTTCTTATAACGATAGTACTATCTATACCACTGTCCCCTTTATTAATAACCATTTTAATTTCAAACTATATTTTCGATTCTACAGTACTGGCCCACATCTAAGTCTTAGAAAATTATTTCTCTTTAACCATAGATTTACACCGTATACGGCCTTCACAATTGAGAAATGAACACGGTTATCCACCATATCAGTGCATATGAAGCTACTTTAAATTAGAATTTAATGGCTGTCTTATCTAAAAGCCAGTTACCCTGAAGTTAAGAAGAAGTAATTCAACTAAATGTCTTACCATGCTTGGTTTTATTGGCGTGGCGTATACGCATCGTTTATTACATTGGGTGAGATTTTTGCTAAAGTCAAATCGTCATAGGCAGACTACAATCTCGAGCGACACTGGAATTGTAATCTTGTTTTAGCGATATGCTGAATATATTGCATCGCAGAAAAATCAGGAAGCGCAAGTGGAGGAGCTATTTTACGGACTAACGCACATCGTTTCATTACAATATTTGTAAAATGCACATCTACTATATAAGTGAACTGTTGCTGATAAAGCACATGCAGCTTTCATCGAAAAAAAGCTACATCTAGCACAATTTTTTTTAACTAGAGGATACGTGGCAAATGGCCTATAAACTTTGGTGCACGAACAGGACACGTGCAACCACTCTCCTAAATGGTGGTTTCACTGACCTTTATTTTCTGGCACCCTGCATGAGAATGAATAGTGTGTTAGCTGATTTTGATTAGACGAACGATCTAGGCAGTGGATGACAGATGCAAGCACGTCTAAGAACATAGTGTGACTTTAGCCTCGCATAAATCTAACCCTTACGGCTTATAATATATACAGAATGAGGCGAAACCCTAATAGTTAGTATATTGAACATAATCCGAGGCGTTGCGTCTTACCGAATGAAATGCTGAGGGTCTCAATGATGAACAAGGAAGTACAAACCGGGGCGAGGGTGATTCGGGGATAACATTTGTGTATGTTACAAGTGACGACTACAAGTCCAGGTCAAGTAACGCTCAGTCGGCCTTCCTTTACTACTGCCGCATTTACCCAAACTACTGCTACTATCGCTACTGCTCGGCAGTTGAAGACAGGATACAACAGAGAATATGCTAAGAACATATATACATACTATTGTATTCATATGTTTACCTTAGCTGACACAGCTAACCCTTGGCTTTTTAGCTTTTAGTAGAGTTTTACGTCCTTTACCTCCGTTCAATATTGCCTCAGAGAGAATGAAATAGCAATCTAATTAACCAATCCATGCCTACTCAGGCTTGCCAACATGAGTCAATTCTACGAACGTTTTTTACTATCGTACAGTTAGAGTGATACGTAATTAACGAGTATTGGTTGGATAATTAACGAACAGTTGCGCTTCCGCTAAAGACTATTGGTTACAGGACCTTCTGATTGTATAAACACATATTTATGTTTTATAAACTTGAAAACATTTTTTATGACTCGCCATCTTATCAGCAAGCATTGGCGTTATTCGACACCTCAGTAGAACGCAAAGACGAAGTCAAAGGCGCATTTCAATTCATGCACTGTCTGTTTTGATCCATCCGTTTATACCTACCACACGATCTGCTCATAGGTCCTATATGAACGCCTTGAGTAATAGATTAACTTAGTATAACAAGAAAGCGTACACCCACGTGGTGAACCCGAAACCGGCCTGTTTCTTTCTCAATACTTGTTCAACAGTTCACTAAGATTGCTTCAGCAATTGATTGTCTCGGATATTCCACCGTCGTGTCCTCTGATCCGCTAGCAAATTTCTCGTTCTCCCGTGCGTGTTTATACCGCCAGTAAAGGACATAACGTGCTATTGGTCGCCCGATACCCCTTTGTGCTTATTTTCTCTATCAAGGTCACGAAAGTGACCTTAATTTAATATTATTTGCACAAGTACGGAAATATTAAACTGCTGAAGAAACCAAGCAGTCTAGCAACGTTAAAACATTCGTATTTCTCATAAATAATTAAAAATGAAATGCATGAATTTTTTTTTCGAAAATCAGTAGAGTTAAAAACTAAACAATTTAATTGTGTAACTGTTACTGAAAGAACTGCTCTTTACATTACATAGGGAAAGTTTAATATTTTTAGTATAAAGAAATTTTTCATTCCTTTTTTGTCAAGACAGTTGTTTACACAAAAACCACTAATATCGTTAAGACTATTTCTATGATGGTCAGCACGTTTCTATACCTCTATATATATGTATACATACATGTAGATGTATAGAAATACGTGATCAAACGCAACCAATTGCACAACAAGTGAACCCATTTAGATGTGTACCTAGAAAGGTTATTAGGTTTGTTACATATCTAACTGGATGTACAAGTACGTAGCCCTCCAGCAGAAGGAGTCTGAATTGAAGAAAACGAGATATCATCGTACTTTTCTGAATCACCTATTAGACTAAGATGATTTTGGTTCTCCAGATTATGCAGCTATACATTTCAATCGTTGTAGTACACTTATTTCTATGTGCAATTTATGAGATGAACACAGTGAGGATAGCTTGTATAGTGTTTACGATGTAATGTGCCGTATCCACTTATAAGCTGCCTGTAAAAACAAGGCGATTTGTCATTATCAATTTTTTATCATCTGCTTAGGTCTTCCTAAATCGCTACAGGTCCTGGACCACATCGGGCTCCGGCGTGATATTGTCTTCCAATATCTACGCTTGAGCTTAACTTTACAGGTAACAATCAATAAACATCCTTGGACCACTTACTGTCGAATAGGCTTAAACCACCTGAAGTGCTTATCAATTTCAAGCGTCTAACAACGCTGATTCATAGCAACACGACGACATCCGGACAACGACACGACCAGCTCGATCATCTTCTCAAGGTGATATTTACAGCTGCAGTCGCATCATCTTAGGCCAATAACAAATTCCCTTGTTTGCTATCAGGGAAAATATCTTTATATATTGCTCAACATTAGCACTGTTTCAAATCATTGCGCGCGTTTAGTCTTCAGCTAGGACTTTCGAATGTACAAGCTTGGGTAGCAGTTTAAACATATGTTTTACACTAAGATAGATGAGCTTCTAATTCTCTATGTGCAAAAAAGGCACTTCCTCGTGATAACACAAAAGAACATGAAGTACCCATGTTGGAGAATATTATGTAAATAGAAGATTACCTTCTGATTCCACACATCTAATCCCATATAATGGTCCTATTTTACATAAACTATGATTTACTATATGCTGATAAAACAGCAAGGAGAATATTTGCTATATTATGTATTTTTTTTTAATGAATGAATGAATGCATTGCTGTCTAGCCAGAGGAATTAGTACTCTATTGTCCCATACAAAATTAATATTATGTGATCTAATTTTTCTTTTGTAGCCAGCATCAACCATGTTGTTTAACCAGCTCCACAAATTCATCTAAGCTAATTCGAATTTCGGTTGCCAAGCAAACATAAGAAGAAGAAACACACTGTATCTTCGTTTCGATATAATTCGAAGGTGTTGGAGAATGGTATTTTGTGTATAGCCTACAACAATGTGCTGTCTACACCTATGAGATATAAAACTGCATGGAGCTTCCTTACTTCCTCGTGGCTAAGATCGAGGATTAAAGGTCGACTTGATTTCAGCAAAAACGCTTCCGCCGGCGCTCTCCTATTCCCACTAGAGAGGGCGGCAGTTTTAGAGATTCTTCCGACCGGATTTTCTGAAGTCCCGGTGAAAAAACGTCTTCGTACGGCCACTGGACAGTATTTAATAAATTTCATTGGTCATGGTGAATATGTGCTGAAAAAACGAAGCTATCAATTTACGACTTTATTTATTGAGCCCCATCAGAATCATGCTTTCGATTGGTCTGGACAGCATGAGCATTTCAAATAAATTTTATCCTTAATCTGGGCTGGGTAACAAATCGGAATTTCTCTGGAGCGGTGAACCTCGTTCCGGCGGGACTCTCAATACATTGTACGAGCGATAGCGATTTTTTCTGGCGAGCTTTTTGTATATGTTAAAGGATGAGCATAGAATCGGGGAAGCGTAGCTGTCTCCTACAGTGTTTTTTTACTGTTGACTCTTATGCGGGACCGAACATTGAATTTTATTTCCATTTATATGATGTTTATTTTAAAAATGTCTTACACACACACACATATAGATATATTGCAACTTGAATTTTTCCTACGTTAGACTGGTGAAACTGCTCTGTTATATAATAGCAAATGTACGACTCTCGAGTGAATCCGAAGTGGATTTTGAGCTCAAAACGGGAGTCTTAAACTGTTATGATATTTGTATACTATGTCTATACGATACTATGAAGTATCGTACCAGAGTAAAAGTTAGAGCATTGTGCCTGCCTTATATTGTAAGTATATTACAGTATAGTAAAGTAGATAGTTAATTCGTTAATTTAATTTTGAGACATCACTGTCAAAAAACGTATCCCGTCAAGCTTATAGACAGATCTATGACGTGTTATCATCGTTGTTCTTTAGCAAGTCACAGCCTCTTAGCAAACTATGGCAGATTATTCAAATCACAATCTTAGGTACTTATAAGTTCTGAAAACAAAAAGATTGAAAAAGCCAAGGATGGGCATAAAATACTCGATGCCGTGGCCTTAATAATGCGGTATCAAAATGATGTGTTGGTCGCTGAGGAACGAAATTGAAAACAAGCTTCTCGTCATAGTTCGATGAGTATGCGGACCATTTGGCCTCTTTTGATTCGTCCCTTTTGTTTGAAGAAAGTTTCCATAAAGACGTATTGAAGACATTTGCTTCATGGCATGTTTTCTCCTCATTAAGACGGAAATCCAAGCATAGTTTTGATACAATTATCGTGGTAAATTATAAGATACTAGTTGGCAAGATACAATGCGCCAACATTGGCTTGAACCCAAGTCTTTTACTGCGAAATGCATTTATCTTAGGGTATCTAGAAATATAGTCAATAAAAACGTCATCATACTTTCAATCTCGTCGGTTGGGTTACAGCTGTTGTTTACGAGAGATTGTATTCTGCGTCGCATAACATTAGAAAATACGTTTTCAAGAAAATTGCAAAACTATCAAAAAATGCGCAGCTATCGAGCTGCAGTCTTCTTTCTACTTGCCAAAAAATTAATCTAATCGCTAGAGCGACACTCGTTAACACTGATTTTTTCGGAATGTGAAGAGCTACGAGATTATTTACGACACCTATCTTTGACACCCATCTCAAATAACAGAATAGAAAACTAAGCATAATGGCTCGTGCTCCCTAGCTATAATTGCTAGCTGCTCATGCACTTTAGTTTCGACGTGATCTAAAGAAGCATTTTTGAGTTCTATGTAAAACACGTGCGATTCGTGGTAAACAACTAAATCAGCCCAACAAAATACTAGGTATTGCATTGAAATTTGTTAAGAATAAGCTTAACAAAAGTTTCCTGCTTCAAGCAGCCGCTGAAGCAGTTCCTGAAGGTGTGAATAAAAACCGGGAAAAAAAAACTCCGAAAAAAGAGGGAAGTTTTCAGCTCATGGTCAGAGCTATTTCAAATAGGGATGGACTCATTTCATGCGTCCGGATAGGTTTTGAGCTTTTTTTTTTTTACATCACCGTATTAACTTTGGAGCAGCATTAGCTCTTCATTTAATTTACTCGCGCAAAGTCTACCAGAAGAATTCGAATACCTTGATTTCAGTAGTGCTAATTAGAGCTACCGCCGTCTGTATTTCTTACTCTTTTGCTAACATTATTACGTGCATTCTCGCACTTGATTTTTTCAGCTTAGCTTAAAAAGTACATTTTTGCAAACTAGATATGGGCAGAAAATTTTTCTTTGACGTGAGCACGAACAATATTTTGTGAACGGAGACTTTTATAAAGCGGTAACATTCTGGCTTTTTATCGCATTTGTCTATAAGTAAGAATGGAAGATTGCTCAAGTGGAATATCGGATTTGAATAAATCGAGTCGATTCTAAGGATTTCCTAGATGATACATTGTGATGCTACAAACGAATTGA